AGTTGCATTATAAATGTAATCCGCCTGTGATTAGAACATGCGTCCTGCTCATTGCTGTGCTAATGAAAACATTGAGTGTTACAGAAGTTGCCATTGTCAGGCCGGGGTCACAGGAGTATATGCTGAGGATGTATTTATGTAAAAAGCAAGTTATTGGCCATTGGCAGGTGGTTGGGCTGTGGGTAGCCATTGGAGGAGGGGTGGGCTGTGGGGTGGCCATTGGAGGCTGGTTGGCCGCAGGTAGCCATTGGAGGAAGGGTGGGCTGTGGGGTGGCCATTGGAGGCTGGTTGGCTGTGGGTAGCCATTAGAGGAAGGGTGGGCTGTGGGGTGGCCATTGTTGGCTGTGGGTAGCCATTGGAGGAAGGGTGGGCTGTGGGGTGGCCATTGGAGGCTGGTTGGCCGTGGGTAGCCATTGGAGGAAGGGTGGGCTGTGGGTTGCCATTGAAGGCTGGTTGGCTGCAGGTAGCCATTGGAGGAAGGGTGGGCTGTGGGGTGACCATTGGAGATGAGGTAGGGTTTTGTTTTCTCCTGAAGATCACTGCGTAAATCGCTGCAAGCAATCGGCCAGTCTACGTCATTAGTTGCCTTGTCCTATAAAATCATAATGGCGGCAGCAGATGTGCAGACCCAGAAACCCACCAGAGCCGTGATATACTGTCAAATGGCTGAACTCCACATCATCATCATCATCCACATCATCCATCATCATCATCAGTCAGTTTCACATCGGCAATAATTTGGCTCACCTTTGAAAGCGCGACGTATGGGAACTTGTCCATCTCCAGCATGGTCTCTTCCCCCGGCTGTCCAGCTAGCTGGCCCTTTAAGATCCGAGCGGCAGTGACAGTTGGCACCCCCATCCCTGCAGAACACAATAGTATTAATATCCTAAACCACTCCGGTTTCTCGGCACAACCTGTTCATATGGTCCCCGTGACCCACCGTCTCCGAGAAACATGATGACATTCTTGGCGATGTTCCTGTTGAGGTCCTGGAGGAGCAGTGATTGTGTGAGGGTGTCCTGGGCCTGCTTACGCCAGTAGTCCGGGTTCTTCTCTTTCTCTGCAAAAAAAAGTATTAATGAGGGTTTGCAACCTTCTGACTAATGAAACGCAGTGAAGGGAGACTCCTTTCTTCTGTCTCCTCCTGTCCCAACTCCCAACCATTGTCGGGTCAGAGGACTGGGACTAATACATCCTTCCACCCTAAGAGTCCATTCCTGAGGATGGTAGAGATGGTGAGGAGACTGCAGATCATTGTGGATCTGTCCTTCGTTTAGAAGCTGTTAAAGTATGTGATAGGCGAGCTCATGGACTTCAGTGTTCTGTAGCAGTCATCTACAGTTCTTAACCCTTA